CGGGCGCGGGCCCTCCGCCTCGCCCCAGCCTGCCGCAGCGCACACAGCAGCGGCCACTGGGCCACGCGCACAAACGGGACGCGACAGTGTCTCTGGAGCGCCCAGTCAGGGACCTTCCCCTCTCCAAGAGCCTCTTACCCCGACCTCCTCGGTTTCCTCCTCCTTCGGTGCCCACAGGCACCCACCGGCCCCTCAGCTCTGTGAGGCAATTCTCAGCTGACGGGCGGCGGCGCGACGACGCCCAGTGCGCATGCCCCGACCACGGCCCAGGAAAGGAGGCGGGGCTCTCTCCCCTCCCATTGGCCACTAGGGCTGAGTGACGGCGATTCCGCCCCGCCCCCTTTGGTTCCAAGCCAAGTATTGGAATTACAAGCAAAACGCTGTTGTTTCAAGCTTGACACATACATGGTAAACGCGTGCACGCAAAGAGGAGGAATCGCAGAGGTGTTACCTTCTTTACTCGGTGAAGCCAACCTCCCTGGGCTGTGTCTTCGCCCCGCCTCATCAGTCATGCCCATAGCATTTCTTAATCTTCAACTCTGGACTGCACAGCCACATGTAAAAATGCAAACGCAAAGACTCAAACCTAGCAAGAACCATGAAGGAGTGAGTGGAGAGTCACTTCCAGGTGCTCCCTCGGTAGACAAATTTTTGTAGCATATGCAAGCCATTCTAAGCATCCTTGAAAATGTAAGGCATAGTTTGTAGGGCGTTTGAATATGAGCAGGGAACAGAGAATGTTCTAATAATAACTACTCAAACATAACGTAAATGTTAGATGAAAAATATCAATTACTTCCGGTGAAAGAAATACCTCACAAAGGAGCCAGGCATGGTGGCGCTCGCCTGTAATCCCAGCACTTGGGAGGCTGAGGCAGGAGGATCATTGAGAGTTCGAGGCCAGCCTGGGCTACAAAGTGAGCTCAAGGCCAGTCTGAACTGCATAGTGAGACCCCGTCTCAAAAAGACCAAAATAGGGGCTGGGGATTTAGCTCAGGGGCACAGCGCCTGTCTGGCAAGCACAAGGTTGTGAGTTTGATTCCCGGTACCGGAGAAAAACCAAAAAAATCAAAAAGACCAAAATAAAGAAAGAAATAACTCACCAAATTAATTAGAAAATGACGTGGCTTGACCTTTCCCTATGTTAGGGCAACACTGTTTTCTGAAAGGAGCATCAAGATGTGATATCAGAAGTCCAGATGCATTTAGGTGACGAAAAAATTATCAGAATATTTTGCATTGATACTACATGTTCAAATTGTGGCTTGTTCAGTATTATGCATACATGTGTTCATAACTAAGGTCAGGGTCATACTCTGCCTCTTCCAGAGTGAGAATTAAAGAGATGACCATGCAGGTCCAGCCAAGGACACACACCCTTCTAAAACAGTGGGATTCAGCTAGTGCCCTTGTGGACTTTTTGTTTGAATTTTTACTTTTGCGGTGCTAGGTATCAAACCCAGGGCCTCCCCATTCTAGGCAAGCATTGTATCACTGAGGTACATCCCTAGCCCCCAGGGTGGATTTTTAGGACTATTGGCTCAATATAGTCAAATTATTTGCTTTTTTTTTTTTGAGACAGAGTCTTGCTATGTAGTCCAGGCTGGCTTTGAACTCACTGTGTAGCACAGGCTGGCCTCCTCCTGCCTCAGCCTCCCAAATGCTGGGATTACAGGCACACGCCACCATGCTTGGCTTTTTTTTTTTCAATATATCAGAAATTCAGATTTTTATGTGAAATCTCTCCTTTATGTGTTAAAATGTGTGTCATCAGACACAATATAAATTTCACTTTATAACCAGTAGCAGTGTTGACCATTAAAGCTGGAGAGCTCCCTACCAAAAATCTAGTTCACTTTCTCATTTCACAGATTAAAGAAACTGGAATGCCAAAAATACTTCAAAGTCAGGAAGACAATTGTAAGAAGAAGCAGTAGTCTAATTCACAATCTACAGTACTTTCCTGTCATATCGTTTACTTGGCGAGTGTTCATTGAGAGTTTGGCATGTGCCAGGTACTGTGCCACACACTGCAGGTATCATGGTGAGTAAGATACAGTATTTCTCATCAAGAAGTTCAAGGAGCAGTATCCTTTTCAAGACACTATAAGGTGTGCCATGATAAAGATTTGTATAAAGCATAGTGGAAGACCAGAGACAGGGATATCTTCCCTGGAGATGCTGGAAAATCCCAAAGAGGAAGTACAAACAAAAAGTTGAAAGACATATCAGAGTTCACTGGAAAGCAAAATGTGAAAGGACATGCTAGACAACATTAAAAGCATGTAGGGTTTTATAATACTACACGCAAGTGTGAATATTTAGGCATCACTTTATGAATTTATTTAGATAAAGCACAGTATGTGAATTGGAGACACATGAGACTTGAAAGGCAAATAGGGTTCTTGAAACAAAAAGCCTCTAAATCAGGTTGAATGACTAATAGTGTTTGAAGCAGTAAAGGATTTTAAACAAAGGTATATTGATGGAGACCAGTACAAAGAAGCCCTGAGCAGGGCTTAAATCAACCAACTGACTTTCCATCTTTACTTATGAGTCTGTCCAAGTCCTAGCCTCCTTTTCTGGAGATGGGCAGTGGACTCATAATAAGTGAAACTCTGTGAGTCAATAATCCCTACTAAGGCCTGTAATGAGAGATGAAGCCAGAAAGCCTCAAAGGATAAGACAAGACCTCAGCCAAGGGCACCTGGATCCAACCTCAACTAGGTAAAGACTATAGCCTCAGGCATCTCACTTCTGGGTGGATTAATTTAATACCTTATTTGGAGAAGTCCTTGAGTGGCTCCCCACTTCTTGAGTACACCCATCCCTTCTTGTGATAACTAAATAAATATGAGCCACCCAGAGAAGGTCTTGGTCTTAGTCCTGAGAGAATCTTGAATTCTGTGAGAGGA